TATATATATATATAGAGAGAGAGAGAGAGAGAGAGAGAGAGAGAGAGAGAGGTTTCATTGTGATTGGAACGTAAACGTCAAGCTAAGTAAACATGAGTACTGTCAGGACAGAGAACCCAGTGATTTTGGGCTTGTCCAACCAGAATGGACAGCTAAGGGGCTCAGTGAAGCCGGCTGGAGCACCAGGAGGAGGAGGAGGAGGAGGAGGAGGAGGAGGAGGCCCCCAACAACAGCAACTCAACCAGATGAAAGGTGCAATCAACAATGGGAACTCCCAGCCAGCCCCTACAACTAATGCTGTCATCAAGTAGGTTATTTGGTGTTAGAAATCCGGGACTTTGGCTGTGTTTTCTGCATGTTGGCGCAGTGTTTGCTGTCTGTTATTTATGCTTGGTGCTGACAAGAACTTTACCGTCCACAGGCCTGGAGATGACTGGAAGAAGAATTTGAAATTGCCCCCAAAAGACATGAGGATGAAAACTTCGGTTGGTATAAGATGGTTCTCCTTTTAGTCATCTGAAGGTCATTCAGGTTGGAAGTAGAAATAGCAGATAGTGGTTTTATTTCTGCGTCTGTCCTTCTTGCTAGTTGTGTCACAGCTACTGAGGCTTTTTATAATGTTCATCAAGCATTTCTACACAATGTGAAGCCACCCTATTTTATGTACTATTACTATAAACAAGGCGATGAATGATGCAACTTTTGCCCTTTCTGTTGATTTTAAAAAACATCTTGCAATACGCGTGCATCGTTAACTACTCTCTGGTAATCCTCTTGCTGTCGTCTAAAGCACGCTGTAGGATCTCGGGTGCTTAACGTCTGATACAAAGCACATAGTCATGTTTTGTTTTCTGTTGTGGAAATAAAAACCTTCACATTCGTCTCCGTTGTAATTGGGGCAGTGGTCTGGTTGGTGTTGACGTTGCTTCTACTCGAGCTTTAAGAGAAACTTGCTTTTCAATTCTGAAACTGGTGCACACATCGGTCTACTTTTTGTTTTTGTTTTTTAATACCACTCTGCCGGGTCATTGTTAGTAGGACATCATGCACCAGCTTGTAAACTGATCTGTTTCTGTCTGGTGAACCAAATTCTAATTACTTTGTGACGATTACAGGATGTGACTGCAACTAAAGGCAACGAGTTTGAAGATTATTGCCTAAAGAGGGAGCTGCTCATGGGAATCTTTGAGATGGGCTGGGAAAAGCCATCTCCAATCCAGGTACATTCAGACAATACTCAGACTTGATTCCCTTTGACAGCTGAAGAAGCTGGTGTCTTTGTGCTTCAGGAAGTGCATGTTTTGATAATTATAGAGTAGGCTGTATTTGAAAAATCCTGTCAGTCATCCTGTACCTTGACTTGTCACGTTGCCAGAATTTCCTTTGGTACCTTTTTCATTTTATATACTTAATTAACTGTGCTTATTTCTGCCTTCGTGCTGCTGTATCACCTGAACTTCCCCTCCACAGCAGCAATAAAGGAGAACCTTATCTTAATTTAAAATGGCATGAAATCAACACAGAGACTTAATGACCAAAGCAGTAACCACACCTTTGGTATGTGCCATAAACTGGCTGTAGCCATAAAGAGTAGTATTGTGTGCTAATGTGTTGTTACTGCTGTTTGTTCAGGAGGAAAGCATTCCCATTGCACTGTCAGGAAGGGATATCTTGGCCAGAGCCAAGAATGGCACGGGAAAGAGTGGAGCCTACCTCATTCCCTTACTTGAACGCATTGACCTGAAGAAGGACTGCATACAAGGTAAGAACGTTTAATCTCTTCCCCAGTTTGCTCAGAAGCATTCTCCGCTCTCACCTAATCAAATGAGTCATTCACCAAAAGGATGAGGATGAAAACGGGATGGAACGTAAACAACATGACAGAAGGAGAATAAACCAATACAGATCCACTGTAATGCAGTTTTAACCTCTAATTGTAGTGGCTTGATGGTTTTAGTGGTTTGGAAAGCTTTGTTTGTGTCCAGAGTAAGGCAAAGCCAGCTCAGAGTATTCCCACATTCATTCAACCACAATCACATGTTTCTGTTCTCCCAGCTTTGGTTATAGTGCCCACCAGAGAACTGGCTCTGCAAGTAAGCCAAATATGTATCCAGGTCAGCAAACACATGGGTGGAGTGAAGGTAATGGCAACCACAGGTGGAACCAACCTCCGTGATGACATCATGAGACTTGATGAAACAGGTAACCGTCACAGTTTACACAAATGGTATGTTGATATTTGCAGACATATAATATCAATAATAAGTGTATAAAACAGCAGACAGATATTCGAAATATACACCTTTATAAATAAGTTAATGGTAAAGGATCATGTTGCCTGTCTCTCCGTTGCTTCTTGGTTATAAGTACGTGTGAGAATGTAGAATATCACATCTACAGTAGGGTTAATTCAAAATGCTCAGTGATTAAATCCACGATATTGCACATTTTGTAATGATTGTAATCCACGGAGAGACAGTAACGAGAGATGATGGATCTTGATCTGGCTCATGCATTAACTCTGGGTTACATGTCAGATCTCAGTATCTTAGCTCCGATAATGAAGGAGCTCTGTCCTCTTTGGCTGGATATTGGCAATCTAATCTCTCAAAAAGCATCTATTTATAGCTTAATAGTCACCACAGAACCACAGTGTGAGGTGGTGGTGCATTTCTCATTATTTAAGGCTGTAATCATTGCTGTTACTATTAATAGTATAGTATCAGGAAGTGCACTGATGACATTGGTTTGTTGTAATACCTTTTGGTCGTCATACTGCAAAATTATTGGCACCTTAAAGGAGTTTGAAATGTGGCAGCCAATGGAAACGCCTGCACCGGTGGCTGAATATTGCCAATATGATGCATAGCTATGTATTTTAAGATCCTTAGGCAAATGATAACGCTGCCATTCTTTGATGTAGCTGTGTATCTTTATGTTTTCTTTGTTTTCCAGTACATGTGGTCATTGCCACTCCTGGGAGGATTTTAGACCTCATCAAGAAAGGAGTGGCCAAAGTCAATCAAGTGCAGATGATTGTTCTGGATGAAGTGAGTTAGTTTTATTTTTCCTTCTGTTTGACCCATATTGTGTTTTTTAGATAAGACTGCTCTCATGTGCCTTTCCCCCCTCGTCCTTGTGCTCAACAGGCGGACAAACTCCTGTCTCAGGACTTTGTGGTTATGATGGAAGAGATACTGGGCTTCTTGGCCAAACAGAGGCAGATTCTGCTTTATTCTGCCACCTTCCCTCTCAGCGTACAGAAGTTCATGGTACAGCTTTCTCTGGTTTAACTTCGGCACTTGTTTGATTTTTTTTTTTGGCTGATAAATAACCTGAATGTAACGGCCTTGTGTCCTCACCTACTTTGTAGAATTCACATTTGCAGAAACCCTATGAGATCAACCTGATGGAGGAGCTTACGCTGAAGGGTGTGACTCAGTATTATGCTTATGTAACTGAAAGGCAAAAGGTCCATTGCCTTAACACCTTGTTCTCCAGGGTAAGTGTTGCCTCCCTGCACTTTGTGATCCTGTTTTTAATTAACTTCAGCTGTGTCATGAAAACATCAGTGTAAAGGCCAACTTGACTGCAAACTGCAAACTTTAATGCAAATGGTTATGTTGCACACTTTGAGCAGGGAGTGGGTCTTCACTCCATTTGAACACTTGTTTGTTTTGCATGTTCATTAGAAATGTTTCTCACTGGGCACTTAAATGGCTTGAAACCATCATTTACTGTTGTTGGTCTGTTTTTCAGCTCCAGATCAACCAGTCTATAATCTTCTGCAACTCCTCTCAGAGAGTGGAACTCCTTGCCAAGAAGATCTCCCAGCTTGGTTATTCATGTTTCTACATTCATGCCAAGATGAGACAGGTCAGCTCGAAGTACTGCCTCAGAAATACCAGCTTTAAGACCAAAATACACAGGTGGCTATGGATGCATGCCAGAACAGCTGCTGCTATTACTTTTAGGCGTGCGATAAAGTGGTGTGTTGTGTAGACGGGCCTCTACTTGATGTGCTGCTACAATTCACACCAATGCTCTATTTCTGGAGTGTTGCTGCCACTGCCAGTAGTTTTCCTGATGTGAAACTGTACGTGTTGTCCAGTTACCCAGGTGCCTTACTTGTCAGCTTACATGTTGCCTTGAACACATGAAAAGATCCATATTAAAGCCTGTTTTTGCTCCAGACGTGGTGTCTGAATGCACTTTTCTCTCCTCTGCTCTCCAGGAGCATCGTAACCGTGTGTTCCATGACTTCAGAAACGGCCTCTGCAGGAATCTTGTCTGCACTGGTAAGTGGTATCGCCGTGTGCATGTACATCTCCTGAACTGTACGAACTGTAAGTAAAATTGCGCAATAACTGGAAGCTGTTGTGACCATACTTGCTCTGCCCCAGCTTGAGCCATTCTACATTAGAGAGTGGCCATACCAATCAAGTTGCAGCTGATGTAGAGTCTTGAGCACAAAATGTCTCAGTTGGCAGAGTTTGAATATTTGTCTGGTTTAAAATAATTGATATTTGTTCCTCTTCAGCATTAATTTCAGTTCTTGTTTAAAAGTTGTGTGGTTACATCACATGGGGTTTGCTACCATGATAGGATGGTGAGAGTTTAACGAGTGCAATGAAAGTGAAACTAACACCCAACATAACTATGGTCATGCATGCACACACATACTTCTGTGGCGCTCTGTTGGTTAGGCATAAGTTGCGCCACAGGTGTGTCTGTGTCTGTGTTGTGTTTTTTTTTTTTTTTGCTGTTGCAGTGGAGAAAAACCAAACTCTATTATTTACATATTTTAAGTTGGTATGGATTTTGTCGTAATAAACTCTTAATCTGCAGATATCATACGTTGGTGTAGGTTTTTGATTTCTTCCTTTGTTTCCTCTAGACCTCTTCACAAGAGGAATTGACATTCAAGCTGTGAATGTTGTGATCAATTTTGACTTCCCCAAGCTGGGAGAAACGTACCTTCATCGCATCGGTAGATCCGGTAAGAGACCGTATTGGTTGTGTTTGTTTTTGTCTGTGCAGCCTCTTGTACAAAGGTTTATTTTAAAGAACAATGATTTAAATGCTCACATCCCTGTTATCCAGGCCGCTTTGGACACTTGGGTCTAGCCATCAACCTCATCACTTACGATGATCGCTTCAACCTGAAAGGGATCGAGGAGCAGCTTGGAACAGAGATCAAGCCCATCCCTGGTATCATTGACAAGAGTCTATATGTGGCAGAGTACCACAGCGAGAGTGGTGAAGAAGTCAAGCCATGAGCCAGTAGGTACACATCGCTGTTCAATACACACACAC